CTATTCACAGACTATTCACAGACATTCACAGACTATTCACAGACATTCAGCATCAACCCTCTTACAGCTGTCATCTGCCAGTCATAGTTGAAATTGCCGCGCGACCGAAAATAGCCCCGTTTCCCTTGTTACACACCTTGCATTTAGGCGCGTGTTTTGCATGAAAGTGCGGTGGTAACCTCGTAATTTCTCACAATTTCTCAAGGTACATGGAACATATTACCAATTTAGTGGTGTCAGTTAGTCATGGATATGTCGCAGTAAGTACTAACAGTAGATATTTCACATACGTTCACCCATTTTACACACAGGCGGTCAATCATTGTGAAAAATAGAAAAACGCTGATTTCTCCGTTTCGATTTCTGACATAGTAGCCGATGTATAAATGGATATTTCTCTGTGATTACAACTCGGATTAATTTAATTTTACACTCGTTTTAGTGGTAACATATTGCTGTAAAAAAGTGCGTCAGGGATTGTTATTAAGTGCTGTATTTTATTAGTTATGCTTCTTTATTCGCTAAAATTTTCAATTCTAACACACAACTTGATTTTTAAGCAGTTTCTTCCATTTTTCTCGGTAAATATGTAACTTAAAGAATAATCCTGACGCACTATTGTGCTTAACATGTGGCAAAAATTTTGTATCCTCACTCCTCTTTCTGGTAGTTGAGAAATATCTAAAATACCATTTTTACAAAAAAATTCAAAATTTGTGTGGTAACATAATTAGGTGCTGGAAATTTCATGAAATTTTTTGGTTTGAGCATAGAGATATATCTCCTCTGGCTTCTTGGCTCATCCATCAGCAACACGAGCATATGCTCTTGGCGACGTCTTGCCTTTTCTGTGAAATTACAGATTATTTCATGTGAAACTCTCGACTTTTAAGGTGTCCGTATAGCTATCAGCATTCGTGACAAATTAAACTCGTTCTCTGGTGAGACGTGTTTTTGTGGTGGAGTGAACGTTGTGAGCGATTATAGTCCGTTTGATAACTATAGTATCTTGTAGTTCGTGGCATGTTATTGGGGCAGATATGTGAAATAATTGTGGGTTTTGTGGTAAAAGCACATATCTGCCCCACTATGTGGAGTTCATATGGGAATGCGATACTAAGGCGCGCATAATTCCCATAAATCTGCCCGTTTTTACGCCCAGTTAAAGGCTCACAATGCGCCATCCAAACCGCTAATTTCTCCAGTACTTAGACTAGCAAAATAATCTTGATCAGGCATAATCATACTACCTATATGCGCAACATAAACTCTAGTTCCTCCGCATTCACTGCGCGCTGTGTTCTTATAAAAAGGGATTTGAAAATACCTCCAATGTTGTTGAAAGAATTCTCACGATGTTGTTGACAGTTTCCCCCCCCCCCCCAAATCCCCAAGCAAACCGTGCAGCGACTGCGGCCGGTACAGAACGCGTACCGGCGCCCGCCAGCACAAGATAAAAACATGTGACGTCAACGTCAACCACTTCGAGGCTATTTTGTTTGGGAAACAGTCGGCAACGTTTGCGCCAGAATGCACAGTTTTCTCACCTCTTTCTTGCTGGTTTAAGAGCAAACGGCCAGTGAAATGGGAGGAACTAGAGTTTATTTTAGCCATAAGGTTAGTGTGATTATGCCATGACACGAAGTATTTGCTAGTCTCAATACTGGAGAAATTTAGCGGTTTGGATGCGCATCTGTGAGGCCTATAAGTGAACCGTATCTCGCGTATGCATAAAAATTGATGGTCGCAACGGAAACCGTTAGTCAATATAGGCTGCCTACTCCTATTAAAAAAATTCGCCTCTGCTGCATTGGAAATACTCTTTACAAAAACTGTTATAATTTCAGTAGGATTGACATTTGCCGCGTATATCGTCCTAAGAGAACGCGCAAATCTCATAATGGTGACGGTGCATGAGTAAAGATTTAGACGCCTAATACATTTAAAAGTTTATCAGTTCGCTTTTGTGCATCAGTTGCAAAACCTTGCATGGCCAAGATTCATTTATTTATAAAAAATGTAGATGTTTCTGATCAGGGACATTGTCAAATATAAATTAAATAACGCGCAGCACCACCACTAACAGTAGCAGCAGCAGCACGTCAGTAGCAGCAGCAGCACCACTAACAGTAGCAGCAGCAGCACCACTAACAGTAGCAGCAGCAGCACCACTAACAGTAGCAGCAGCAGCACCACTAACAGTAGCAGCAGCACCACTAACAGCCTAGGCAGCAGCAGCACCACTACAGTAGCAGCGAGCAGGCCACCACTAACAGTAGCAGTAGCAACACCTCAGTAGCAAGCCAGCAGCACGCATCACCACCAGCAGCAGCTAACAACAACAACAAACGACGACGGACGACGACGACGACGACGACGGACGACGGCGGACTTTAACATCGACAGCAGTAACAGCAACAGTAGCCCAGAAAAAAAAACAAGAACAACATCAGTAGGCAGCAGCCACCACCATCGCAGCACAACCAAAATAACAAACCACAACAACAGCCAGCAGCAGTAACATAGCGAGAAAAGCAATAACAACAACAACAACAAACAACAATAACAAACACAGTCGATGTATAATTATGCAAGATGCGGAAGTGCCAGCGTTAGCAGCTGATAGTAAGCATGGAGGACACAGGTGGCGTACGTTGCAATAGCGATCAGAGCAGAGTGGCGACGACTACGACGAACGATGCACTTCACGGCAAATAGAACGATGGCGCATAGCAGCCGACGGTCGCGAATAGGTCCGTAACTCTGCTCATAACGAGCGTCGTAAAATCGCGCGAGCGCGTCGATAATAGGTAGCCGAAGACGCGCTTTACGGTCTTAATTAGCATTACTCTCTATCTCTCTACTCTTTTTTTTTCTCTCTCTCTCTCTCTCTCTCTCTCTCTATCTATCTCTCTCTCTCTCTCTCTCTCTCCATCTCTCCTTTCGTCTCT